CGTTATATCAAAGGTTCGTTATATCGAGGTTCTCTGCAATAAAGTTTTCTGCAACGGTAAGATCAACGGTAAAATGCATCACGAAACCTCTGGCAGCTCATCATCCTCGTAACAGCTCTTTATCAGCTCAGTCAACAAGAAACCAAATTCAAGGATGTTTTTCCCTGAGATGTCTTTAATTTCACGCTCACTTTTAGCACATTCAGGAAAGTCTTGAGATATCAACTGGGACGAAAAAAATCCTCCACGAACAGCTGTTATCGGTGGAATCTGGGCGAAAATTATACACCAGCAGCGGATTACATTCAGCCAGAGAAAATGTTATAATATATTGATTTAGCCAAGCCTTAAAGCGGAGCTCCCAAGTTCGCAATATTAATGATAACATCAAAGATGTGCATTTGCCAAGACTCGCCTGAGACACCCCTCCCTTCGTTTTGATAGTCTCCCCTACCCTACCCGTGCAATCTGAAGGCAAGTACGTACGTACGATCGGTCAGTCACGTGACAACCAAACGACAAAAGGTTGACCATATTCTATGGGTATGGGGTTCTGCTCCACGCGCGCTAAGCGTGCGTGGGAGCCCCGCTAACATAACTAAAGCAAACCGCGCGCTCTGATTGGTTAATTCAGCATCTACTATTTGCCCATGGGTGTATGCTGCTGACGTGTGTGCTAATGTTTCCAAAGCAAATGTTTTGAAAGACATTGTTTCCAAAGTAATGGCCGCCGTCCCTTCTGCCAGAAATGCGAAACTGTCTTCACAGTGGTCTGAAGATGAAACAGACAGTCCATCTTTTGACCTATTTGGGAGAATTTTTCCCTAGCCACCCGCAAAGAGATTCGAAAGTTTAAGTGAAAGGGCACTTGAAGAGCTTGTAAGTGAGCGACACTCAAAAAAGACGAAAGAAGTCACAAACTGGTCTTTGTCAACATTTAAAGGTAAACAAATAGCTATTAAAGCTTAGTTGAAATTCATAATAGGCTTTACGAGAAAGAGAAAACAAAATAAATATCTGAAGACCTATTAAATGTTTAGAAATTGTTCCTGTGTAAACCCAAATTAAACGCTAACGCGTAGACAATGTCGACGAAATTACATTTTCAATTTGCTGTTTTGGCGATTTTAAAAAGCGCTTACTCTGATAACAGATGAAAATATATTGAAAAGTTAAATTCCATTTCAAACCAAATTTTGATAGTCCATTCCTTTTTGTTATTTTCAGCTTGGTGTTCAGAAAAACAAATTCAAACCCCGCTTGAAACGATGAAAATAGGTCCGCTTGATCAAAATCTACGCAGATTTTGTGCAGAAGCGGGAACTAAAAAATGAAGGGCGAAGATTACAGTAGATCGAACTTACTGGGTTTTCTTCATTCGATAGAAAGATACCTAAATGCCCCACCATTTAGCAGAGACCTACAAATTTCAACTGACCCAAGATTTGCAAGATCAAACCTCAAGCTAGATGCGGAAATAAAAAATCTAAAACGAAGCGGCAAAGAAATTGTCACGCACAAACCTGCTATCGAGGAAGACTGAAGACCTCCAGAAGCTGAAATCAAGCGAAGTGTTGTCCTTATCGTCACCGCTCTCCTTGCTGAGAAATGTTTGGTTTCACGTCGTCCTGTTTTTCAGCAGACGGGACTTGAATGGCAAAGAAGCTTGACAACGAACAGCTTCAAGTTTGAAACCGATGCGGCTGGAAGAAATAATGCAACCATGAGTCACCATGAATTATCAAAGAATCATCCCGGAGGACTAAAGGACGTTGAAAGCACAGAAAAAGAAGCCCGAATGTATGAGACCGAAGACCAAGGTGACGGCTTCAAGACCCTCGAATTGTTTCTCCAGAGGGTACATCCAAAGTGTACTGCGTTTTTCCAGTATCCGAAGAAAAATAACATAGCTTAAGATGCCGTTTGGTACGAACCACGACCGCTTGGAATAAACAGCCTCGCCAAAATGAGGAAGACCAGCAGCGAAGACGCACGTTTATCCAAAGTCTACACAAAACATTGTGTAAGAGCCACTGCCATCTCTCTCTGGTCCAACGCAGGGATTTCAAACCGCCACATCACGGCCATTTCTGGACACCGCAGCGGGCAGTTTCTTGTAGGCTACAATTCGCGGCCTTCGACCTCCCAGCTCCATAACTGCAGCCAAATCTTTTCGAGAGCCTTTTCTCCTTCTGCCATCAATCACAGCCAGCCATCGATCACAGCCAGCCATCAATCACAACCAGCTATCAATCACAGCCAGCCAACAATCACAGCCAGCCATCAGTCACAGCCAGCCATCAATCACAGCCAGCCATCAATCACAGCCAGCCATCAATCACAGCCAGCCATCAATCACAGCCAGCCATCAATCACAGCCAGCCATCAATCACAGCCAGCCATCAATCACAGCCAGCCATCAATCACAGCCAGCCATCAATCA